TCAGTGCCATGGTTCCAGGAGAAAACTTGTGTGTACTAACCACAGAGACGATCTGTATTTCTTCTTCGCTACGGTCACCGTGGACTGAAAAGCTCGATCTTGAGACCGCTGCACCTGAAAAGTACAAACCCACAACACTTTGAGTCTTTATGCAGTCACAGATCAGATCAGATTAATTCAATGACCAGCGTCTGAAACAACGATCATGAAAATCAGGAAAGCTAAACGTCTTTCTTGAAATGATCGGGCTAAAAGGGAACACAAAATAACTGGAAATTCACTGAAAATGTTAAAATAGAAGGAACCAAACGTGGTTTAATAGAATTTGTGACATGTGGGGTTATTAAGTGATGGAAATGGTCATTGCTGAACAGCTGCTGCAACTCGAACATGTTCACCTTTTTATTTATTAGCGGGAAACTGAAATCCAAATCAACTGTGAAAAAGTAACTGACTCTCTAAGAAAACCAGGAAACGATTATAATTTTTGAAAAGCAGAGTTCAGTTTTACTCACAGCACCCGGAACTGATTACTGCGAGAGAGGAAAAAAAAAAGCTTACATAGAGTTATTATTTATTTAGTTTATTATTATTAACCTTTATTTAATCAGGCAAATTCCACCGAGATCACAGATCTCTTTTGCAAAGAAGGCCTGGACCTGAATCAGACTAACATGCATGTTTTTGATGGTGGGAGGAAACCGGAGTACCCAGAGAAAACTCACAAGCACGAGAAGAACATGCAGACTCCACACAGAAAGACCCAAGGTCCAACTGGGCATCGAACCCAGGACCTTCTTGCTGCGAGGCGACAGTGCTGACCACTGAAACTAAACAAACTAAATCAGTGGCTCCAACAACAGAGTTTGAACACGGACCCAAAACAAAAAGAGTTCCTGTAAAAAGAGCTACAGTTTCATCTCCTACCTACAGTGACGAGAACATCAGGGATGATTTCAGGTGTATGGAGGTCACAGCTTTATAGTATTTGTTTGTCTTCAGTTTTATGATTTTCTCTGTAATGAACCCAAGCTCAGTGATGGAGGACTTTAAGACTTTGTCTGGACTCTGTGTCTGATTTAAGATCAATAAGATTGTGTCCCACCTCTTTTAACAAAACACACCGACCTTATTACTGTGGAGACACTGATACACTCAGAGCTTCTCAGGTTGTTCATCACTTCACCGTCAGAAGAACAGAGTCAGTGATGTAGCTAAATATGCTGGTAGATGTAGTTAAATTCAATTCCATTCAAAAATACTTTATTAATCCCAAAGAGAAATTATTTGTTGTTGTAACTCGTTATCTTCATTTCATTAAGAGATGTTATAGATGCTGATGCTGTAGACAGGAAGGATCTCTTGTAAAGGTCCATCCCACAGTGGATCCTAAGAAACTGGCTGCAGATGCCGTCCGATCCGTCCACCCAGACTCAGCTGGCCTCTCGGTTCCCCCGGGCTGTAGGACCGCCTGAATGCCGGGCAGAACTCCTCCCAGAGCGACGGCCACTCCTCCCAGCAGTCTGCAGAGCTCCTCCTCGCTGCGGACAGCCAACTGTAGGTGCTGAGAGACAATCCTGTCCTTCTGCTGTCATGAGCCGTGTTTCCTGCTAGTCCCAGGATCTCAGTGGTCAGGCACTCGAGCACAGCTGGCAGGTAGATGAGAATGCGTCCACAGAACATCCTTTCCAACTCATTTGAGATTTGGGGCTGTAGTTGAGATATTATTTGAGCTTTTGAGATGTTATTCAGCTGTTGGTTGTAGAAAACTGCCTTGTTGCCATGGTTACGCATCATAACAAATG